GAGCTCCTCAGGTGGCTTACATACACATAGGCCCCCATGGGCAGGCTTGCAGACATGCACCACACAGGGCCGCCACATGTCTGTGCCAGGTTGAGGGTCTATCCCCAAGAACGGCAGGAATGAGTACACTGTCCTGTGGTCAGCTCTCTAGTCCACAGACACCTCGTTTTGGCAACATAATAGTCCACTACTAGTAGCCAAGAAAGGTGGTGATACCGACAAGAGAGAAAAGGTTGGTAAAACAAACAGAAAAAAACCGGTGAAAGATGTTACAGCAACAGCTGAGAGCCAGGACACCAAGGGACTGTCTCACGAGTTTCCACCTTTGACATGGGACAGTCTCACTTCTCTATGGCTGATTTTAGTGGAAAATGTGTTTTCCTTCTCTGACAGGTTTCCACCTTACACAGGTCCTGCCTTTGCAGGTTTTACTCTGGGAGGCAGGGGTCCCCGCCCACCGGTCAACAAGAGGTCCCTCACTCCTGGGTTCTGGTGGCCCAAGTCCAGCCTTGGACTAAGACAGACATTTTAAATCTAACAGCAGATATTAGCTATATGGATGTTCACTGCCAAGTTCCTTCACGTTTCCTAAACGTTTAAAATTTTTCATAATGTAATGTTGGAAACCAGCAAGTGAAAGAACAGTTTGTCCTCTCCATGGAGCGTACTGACGCCACTTTCAGCAGGAGCAGCAGCCTTATTTCTGACAGGAGTCCCCAGAGGGCGTAAACAGTTCATGTGCTTGGCTGCTAACTGAACAGCTGACGGTTTGAATCCCCCCAGAGGTGCCTCAGAAGAAAGGGCTGGTGATCTGCTTCTTAAAGGTCGTGAAAACCACATGGTGGTGGTGGTTGTTATGTGCCCTCGAGTTGGACGGACTCATAGCGACCCTTCCTTGGGTTTCCCACCATGTGGAGCTCAGTTCTATTATGAACCACGTGGGGCTGCAGGAGTCCAAAGAGAATTTTTAACAGTGTGTACAGTAATCATTTAATGTCAGAATATGGCTTGATATTTATTAAAATCAGGAGAACCAAGATTGCACTTCCTCTTGAACTGGAAGATGCTATCAAACTGACTAACAACCAAACCAAAGTTTCAGAGAGCAACCTAGCCTACAGGGATAGCAGCCTCCACAAGCCACGGCCTCATCTACCCTGAGACCAGAACGAGATGGTGCCCCAGCCACCACCCACCATCTAATCAGGCTGCAAGAAATGAACCCTGATAGAACAGGAGAAAAATGTGGAACAGAATTCAAGTTCTTACGTCAACTTACAGGACCAGTTCAGACGAGATGACTCCCTGAGACTATCGTTATCAGACAGTCTTTAACTTGAACCCAAACTCTCCTGATAGTTTAGTGAAATAAAAGATTGGCGCACAAAATAAAGGATATCACCGTGAGTAGGCTGTGCCATTAAAAACCATCTCTGTGAGACCAAAAGGCCAACACTCTAAACCAAAGTGGAGAAGATGAGGGGGCATGGAAACCCGAGTACTGGGAACAGAACCGCCAGAACGCAATTAAAGAGAAGGCTGGCCTACTGTAAAGTAGTAACTAGTGCCACTCAACAAAGGAGCTCTGGTAGCACAGTGCCTAAGGCAACTGACTGCTAACCAGAAGGTTGGCAGTTCAAACCCACCAGCCACTCCACAGAAGCAAGACTAGGCAATCTACTTCCATAAAGATTTACTGCCTCAGAAACCCAATGGGAGTCACTATGAGTCGGAATCAACTCGAAGGCAGTGGGTTTGATTTTTTGGGATCACTGAACAACCCGTGTAGAAACTGGCATATGGGAACCTAATGTGCTGTGTAAACTTCCACCAAAAATACAGTATTATTTAAAGAGAAAAATTTACAAGAACCATTGAGTCCTGCTGTCCAGAACGCCCAGGGCAGGTACCTGCAGGGACTGGGCTTCTACGAGGAGTCAAGGATTCCACCTGCTTTTAGAAAACATGAGACCCCATGTGGTGGTTATGTGTGTCAACTTGGCTGGGCCTGGCTGAGCGGCTGGGCAGCTGGTGGTAGTATTCCCCATGATGAGACTGGCCATCAGCTCCATGGTGGGATCTACCACAAGCAGCTGAGTAGCTGCCTTTGGGATGTGGTCTGCTTCCTGTATGTAAGGAGAAGCCTTGGGAATTGTCTCTAGCCGATGGCACGCTTGGACCCTGCACGTAGCCGTGGTTGCTCAGCAGCCTGCTATGCTCGGCCGACCTTGGGACTTACAAATGGACTTAAGTTAATGGCCTGCTGCGTGGTTTGGTAACATCAGGACTGTGCCTTTTTACTTGTCAACACTGGGGCTTCTCAGCCTCAGCAGCCAGCAGCTGAGTGAAAAGCCTCTAGCTCCTGCCAGGAGCAGAAGGCAGAGCTAGACCCCAAGGTTGAGGGGTTTTCATCTAGCCCCTAGAGCCTGGCACTTGAACTTGGACTTAAAGCCTCCAAATTGTAAGAATCAACTCCTGTTTGTTGAGGCCATCCCATCTGTGGTACATTTCCTGTCAGAGCGGCACTAGGGAATAAGAACACCAAGGATCTTTCTGAAGTTTAATGGTTTCAGGATGTATCCCGTTTATGAGTGAGAAAGCACGTGGCAGGTTTCTTACCCTGGGTGGCTGGGCACAGAGAAATGACTGCTGGTCCTATCTGGCAGGGCTCCCAGCCCACCGGTCAACAAGAGCTCCCTTACTCCTGGGTGCTGGTAGCCCAAGTCCAGCCTTGGACTAAGACAGACGTTTTAAATTTATGAGTTAAAAACTAGCCCAGTCCTCACCAGGGTCCTGCATTTGACTGACTCTTCCTCTCAGGGGCCTTCCGTACTACCTGTCAATCTTGGGACTGTTTCTGGACTTGAACTAGTGGCCTGCCGTGTTGCTTGATGACCTTGGGACTGTAGTATTTTACTTGTTGACCTTGGGTTTGTCAGCCTCAGCAGCCAGCAGCTGCCTGAGTGAAGAAACCTTTCAGCTCCAGTGGGCTGGGAGCGAGAGGCCAACCTGAAGCCTAAGGTGGAGGGGCCTTCACCCATGCCCCACAGCTGGCACTTTGAACTTGGACTTCTAGCCTCCTAAACTGGAAGAGAATAAACTCCTATTTGTTAAAGCCATCCACCTGTGGTATTTCCATTAGAGTGGCACAGAGGGCCAAAAAAGCACCAAAGACATTTGTAAGTAAAATAAGATTTATATGTTGAGTTTAAAGGCTCTAGGTTATTTTGGCTGTTAAATAAAAATGATTTCAATTAAAAAAAAAAAAAAACTAGCCCAATCCTGGAAACCAAACCCAACCCAACCCATAGCTGTAGAGTGACAACTCACAGCACCCCTAGAGGACAGAGTGGAACTGCCCCTTAGGGTTTCCAAGGTGGTCAATCCTTACTGAAGCAAAGCCTAAATCAAATCCACTCACAGAGGACAGAGGAGAACTGTCCCACAGGGTTTGCAGACTGCAACCTGTTTCTCTCATGGTGTAGCTAGTGGGTGTGAACTGCCAACCTACAGGTTAACAGCTGAGTGCTTAACCACTGCACCACCAGGGCTCCAACCCTGGAAAAGAACCCTCTGAAAGGTCCATGATTTAGGCTCACTGTCATCATTTTCAGCCACAGCCCACAGTAGCTTGTCAAAACGGCGAGGCTCTGGCTAACCACAAGCCGCTGAGTTCACTCTCACTCAGGTGAGAGCGGCCGAGACGCTCACAGTATCCACTCTTCTTGCTAGACCTTCCAGGAGCACAGATCCTGGAGCCAGGGAGTGATTCGTTAGAGAGGGGAAAACGAACTGTCAATAGTTACCGTGCGATTCAGACTCCTCTGATGCACCTGCTTCTTTCTCTCTAGAAAAGTCATTTTAGGGTAAAAAACAAGGCTAAAGAACAAATGGGTCTGAAAGTCACTTGCCCCTGACTGCCAAGGCATTGACACCACCGCGTGCACGGTCTCTTCCCGTAGAAAAGTTTATTTCCATTGCTTTAAGGGTAGGCAAACACATAGTACGATGTATCAGACCAGATTTTACACTCAACAAGAGTTTATATACCAAAAAAAAAAAAAAAAGTTTATATACCACCCCCAAATAATAAGGATTAGGAAGCATTTGGGATCACAGGGTAAAAATACAACAGACTGAAAAATCACAGGTGAAGTTCAATTCATTTCAGATACTTACCAATCACGGGCTGTAAATTACATGAGATCAACAGCAACTAAAGCAAAGAAACTACTCGTGGGGCTTGAACGCAGAGCCTGTCCCTTGCTGACCTGGGCTGACAGTCACATAGACAGCCCAGTCCGGCCTCTCAGATCTGTCCACTCAGCACGAGGCGGGGCTGCTTCAGCCCCACTAGAAAATCTGCCCAGCAGAGCCGAGAAGACCAGGAACGTTTGAGACGGGAATAGAAAACCCAAGACAGAAAACCTGGCCAAACGCGGTCTGCCGACGCTTGAAGCTGTGGGAAAATCCACACGCCAGGAAAAGCAACGGCTCAGGATCCCTCCTGTCCCTGGGTGCAAGATGTCTGTGCTTCCCAAAGGTGTCTGAAATTACAAATTAAAACACAGAGCAGGACAACACTTCTGAGACACGGGGTGAGGAGAGAGGAGGGATGGACCTGGAGGGCTTTGGTAGGCAGTCTTCAAAATATTTTATTACAAAATACAGTACAGCGTTCGAGGCTGTTTCCCAATGTTCTCTCACACACACAGTCTGCGGAGCGTAGCACTGAAGGATGCTGGCAATGCCCACAGGAATGTGACTCCCAGAATCATTTCAACCCCCTAGAAGTCACGGCGAAAACCTGTCCCACACAGTGGAATGGAAAGGGTGAGTGGCTGTGGCCGGCTGAGCAGGCCCGCTGAGCAAGCCCATCACTCCCTCGAGGGGTGAAGTCCACGGCCACAGCTGAACCCTCCCCAAGCCGGGACCGAATTCACACAGAGACCAGGCCAAGTAGAGAAGACACAGCGCAGGTCGGCCCCGAAGGCCCAGGTCACTACTTCTTATTCCTGGGCTTTAGCTCTTCGGCTGCGTTCCGCAGGAAAATGTAGTTCTTCTTCTGGGGGTTATAAAACTCATGTCCCTGAAGAGGAAGAGAAACCAACAACCTTACTACTAAAAAGCAACAGCTATGTTTTGTGGGCATCTTTATAAGCCAAAGGAGCTCTGGCGGTGCAGTGCTTCAGGCATTTGGCTGCTAACCAAAGGTCAGTGGTTGAAACCCACCAGCACCGTGGAACAAAGATGAGGCAGCCTGCTTTCATAAAGACTGACAGACGTGGAAACGCTCCGGGTCAGCTCTCCTCTGTCCTCTAGGGGTGCTATGAGTTGGAACTGACTCAATGGCAGCGGGTTTTCAGTTTGGTTTCATGAGCCAAATTCTAGGCCCTGTGCTGCTGCATCGTCCCTCTAAGGGAACAAAACAAAACCACCACAACAAAGATGGAGAGAAAGAAATATTAGAACAAAACCCCAGTCATCAGAGAAAAGGCTAAGGATTCGGAGTCTGTCACCTACTTCTCAGAGGGACGTTCTCCCCAAGCACACTACCTGTGCTCCGTGTGAACGCCCTCTGGCCCTTCTGCCCCGTCCTACAAAGACGAGTGCCCGCACCCCCCACAGAGGGCAGCGGAGGACCAGTTGTCCCGAGGTTTCACAGAAGCAGCATCTGACCCAAGATGTTGTCACCAGGTGAGAAGACAGCCCAAAACACAGAGCACTTACATTGGTATCAGGCTGAAGCCAAGCTGCAAAGGGTGGTGGCTATCCTAAACATTGCACCCCAGGGAAAAAAGGCATGGCAGCCACAGAGGTGAAAAGTAAGTCAGGGCCGCCCTGATGACCACAACAGTCCTAGCAGAGAGGGCAGGAAAAGCATACAACAAATTCACAATCACAAAAAAGACCAGACTTACAGGTCTGACCAAGGTGGCAGAACCCTGAGACCACACCCTCAGACACCCTGCAACCTGGAACTGAACCCAGCCGGGGATCAACTCTCAGCCTAACGGGCCTATAAACCGAGTACCACCACCAGGGAGGTCCGCACCCCTCAGTACAAGCAACAGTACGAGGCCAAAAGGGCAGCCCTTGCCCAAGTACAAAGCTCAAAAGGCAGGAAGAGGCGGGAAAAAGGACAAACGGAACCAAGAGAGAAAGCGGGGAGAGTGCTGCTCCATGGAGAGGATGCAGCCAACATCACAGACAAAATGTCGATGAATGAACTGCTGAATGGCAAATGAACTTGCTCTGTGAGCTTCCACCCAAATCACAGTAAAATGTTCAAAAAACTGAACTCTCTTTAAGAGAAAAGTAAGTAGGTGAGTACTGTGATCAGCTGGAGATTCACAGTGGGGTGGGCAAGACAGAAAGGGGCAGAGGGCGGCAGGCAGGAGCCTCGGAGACACAAGGCTGAGAGCAGGGCACTGGTGGCCCGAGGCCTGAGGCCCCACCATGCTGCAGTGACACCAATGACACATGACCCAGACTTCAGACGGGAGTCCACTATACACACTTTCCCTGAACTAAAAAGTGAACACTTCCTGCACTTCCTTTCAAACACAAAAGACTAGAATTTAAGTAACTCTCACTCTGAGGTGACACTGATTGGTTGGATAAATCCGATGACAGGCACACCTCGTTTTATTGTGCTTTGTGGATATTGCCTTTTCTAAAAAACTAAACAAAGCCAATTGAAGGTGTGAGGCAACCCTGCACTGAGCAAGTTTTTATCAGTGCCATTTTTCCAGCAGCACACACTCACTTTGTGCCTCAGTGCCACGTTTTCATGAAGCTAACAGACTACTATATCATGCCAATGTAACTTCTATATGCCCTCACCAAAAACCAAACCAAACTCACGGCCACAGAGTCCATTTCCACTCACGGCCACCCCCTTTGGGTTTCCGTGGCAGTCAGTCTTTACAGAAATAGATTGCCCAGCCTTCCTTTACACACAAGGAAACAGACCTGCAGCCGCTCAGTGCAACACTTGAACGACATGCTTTCTCACTTCTTCCCATGTCCCTCGGCCTCTTTGGTGCTTGTCATGCAGAGCTCTGGGGGTGACACTTCAGCTGAGACACAGAGCGACACCTGGGGAGGGAATCACTGGGCAGCCACTGGAGCCTTAGCCTCTACACAGGCCCAGACCTGGCTGCAACCCCAGACACGCAAATTCCCAAACTCCAAAAGAGAGCACCCAGCTCAACAGGGGAATGGACAGACACGTGATGGACGGCCCCACCAGGAAGCCAAGCAGCAAGGGCCCATGCAAACTGCTGACAGACACAGCTGCGCAGACGGGTGACTCTCAAATGCTGAAGTGGAGTGAAATAAGCAAAAAGGGGGCACACAGACCCTGCTCCCCCACACCCACTGCCCTCAAGTCGGTTCCACTCACGCGACCCTGTAGGACAGAGAAGTGCCCCATAGAGTTCCAAGGCTGGAATCTTTACAGAGCAAACTGTCTCATCTTTCTCTCATGGCAGGGCTGGTGGGTTTGAACTGCTGACCTATTGGTTAGTAGTCGAGTGCTTAATCACTGTGCCACTAGGGGTTCCTTTGTTCTAGAAAATACAAACCAACCTATACTGACAGAAAGCAGATCAATGCCTCACCTTGGACCAGTCATAGCTGGAGGCGTAGGCAAATATGTTCCCATTGTGATTGAAGCAGCAGGCTGATATTGGCTGGTCTAACTGCTCCGAAGTCTTTAGTTTTGTTCTGGCATCTTTGTCCCAAAAGCTGAACCTGCCATCAGACCCCACCGTGGCCAGTGTGCCATGGACAGGATGGAATGCGATTCCGTTCACCTGCGAGGATTGAGGCACGGTTAGCAGCAGAGCAGCAGTGGTGAACTCCAGGTGCTCCAGCGTGTGCGCCCTGGGCTACCTTGGAAACCAAACACACAGACTTTCCCATCATTAGAGCGGCTGCCCTCGGTCACAGGGGAGGCGAGCTGTGCCTCCCAAGCACACTGCCAGCCCAGAGCCACGGCTCACCTGTGACAAGCATGAGCCATAGGAACTGGCACGAGCACACACTATGATGTCAAGGAGAATGCCCGGGAAACACCCTTTCCTTTCTGCAAACAGTTTTAGCTGCCTGGGTGGCCCGTCTACCTCCACCCACAGAAGAGGGAGAAAGCTCTCCCAGAAAGTGTTCTAAGCTTGTATTCAGAGACAGAGAATAGAGAAGGCCGACGTGCTCTTTGCTATGGACTGAAAGTGTCCCCCAAAACACGGGTTGTGACTCTAACCTCTACACCTGTGGCTATAATCCCACCTGGCAATGAGTTGTCTCTGTTATGTTAATGAGACAGGAGTAGTATAGGGTGTGTCGAGTCCATCTCTTTAGAGATTATGAAGAGAGAGATTAAACAAGTAAATGAGCGAGCAGAGAAGGGGGAAGAGAGATGCCAAGCCACACGGAGACCTCCAAGGTGCCAGGAAACAGAAGCTGAAGAGAAAAAGACCCCCCTCCAGAGCCGACAAGGAAAGCCTTCCCCTAGAGCCGGCACCCCGAGTCTGGACTTCCAGCCTCATCAACTGTGAGGAGGTAAATCTGTGGCATTTCTGTTACAGCAGCTCTGGATGACTCAGTCAGGACAACCGAAGCCTGCAGCTTCAGCCTCCCTCTCCCGCCAGGAAAGCACACGCGCCAGGGCTCTCTGACGAGGCCCAAGCCTGGCTGGCACGTTTTCAGATAGCCCCCTCCATGTCTAGTCTCTAGCTGCCTCTGAAGGCTGAGGGTTGGCTTTCAGAACATACCGCGTAGATGTCCTGAGGTGCTGAAGTATTGGTTCCGTTGGAGCGATGACATTTGAAGGTAAAGTTATCTTTGGCACTGAGAAAACAAAGACCCATCTCAGTTTTCCTTTTTTTTAAAAAAAAAAAGCCCAAAGTAAAGATGTATAAGTTGACTGAGTCCCACTTACGGATTTGGGGGGTTGATGTAGTGGATGGCAACTCTGCCCTCAATACTCCCCAGGGCAAAACCAGTCGGCTTATTCTGTTTGTCTTTAAAAATAGCCACACACCGATGCTATAGTGTAAAAAAAAAAAAATGTATATTACCACAAGTAAAATACAACATTGTACAACAAATATATAGTAGTAATTTTTATCCCATTATGGTCTTTACAAGAGCCAGAAACCAGACTTAGGGGCCCTAATACGTGGCACAAATATACTATCAACCACAATGCACAAGCAAAAGACAAAGATGACTAGGATCTCCTGAAAGTTAAATCCGTCTGTGCACAGAAGACCCTACACGGCAGTAAAGAGAACCCAGAGACTGGGAAAAAAAATTACAATACGTTGGCATGAGACTAATCTCTACAAGTTATGGAAAACTGCAACTCCTCAACAACAAAATGACAAACAATCCAATTTAAACATGGGCAGAGGACATGAACAGACACATTTCACCAAAGACGACATGCAGGTGGCCAACACACACATGAAGGAATGCTCATGATCATTAGCCATTAGAGAAGCTAATAGAAACAATGATACAGCATCTCACCCCACCATTCATAGCAAAGTTCTAAAAAACAAAACCACAAATGCTGGCGAGTGTGTAGAGGGACCAGAACCCTTGTACACTGCTGGTGGAACAGTAAAATGGTGCAGCCACTGTAGAAAACGGTATGGTTCTTCCTTAAAAAGTAACAGAAATACTTTTTAATTGGAAACAGAAATACTTTATGATCTAGCAATCCCACTACTAGATCCATATCCTAGAGAACTAAGAGCCATGAAATGGATGGATGCACACCCATGTTCATTGCAGCACTATTCACAGCAGCAAAGAGATGGAAACCACCAAGTGTCTACCAATGTATGAATGGATAACCAATCTATGGTACATAAACACAATGGAATACTATGCAGCACTGAAGAATAATGAAGATCTGCAAAACACCTCATAACATGAATGGCTCTAGAGGACATTATACTGAGTGAAATTAAGCTATCCAAAAGAACAAATGTTATATGAGACCAGTATTATGCAAACACATAGAAAGTAACATTCTTTGAAGGTTATCAGGGATGGGAGGGATAACCACCAACTAAAGAGTAGACATGTATCGGGTGAAGGGAAAGCCAATAGTTGGTAAGGGGGAGGTCAGCACACAAGGAGAAAGCCAATGGAAGACAGCGGGAGGAGCACAAGAGTTAAAAGAAGCAAAGGTAAATACTATTAAATACCCAATCCTCCAACAACAATAATAAGAGTAATCTATGAGTGGATACACAGATACATATGAAAGCTAAACAGCTGTGGGAAGGCGATGTCACTACACCCACAAACATAAATAGGTTTGCAGAGGATGTGTCTACATACATATTTATACACGGTGCAAATACATCCATGTACATTGTATAGCCCATACGGTAGCAGACACAGACAGCAAAGTTATGAAAACTTCTTAGCTATAACCAAACAGCTGGAGGGAATGAGTCACTGGGCCTGGGGGCTCAGGACCGTACGTAGTCTGGGAGACACGAAGGTCAATTTGCCTAACACAGTCCACAAAGACAATGTTCTACATCCTACTCTCGTGAGTAGTGATTGGAGTCCTAAAAGCTTGAGTGGCCATCCAAGATACAACTAGTGGTCTTTTCCTCGTCCAGAGCAAAGAGTGAAGAGAACCAAAGGCACAAACAATGAATGCACAGGACTAATGGACCATGCAGACCTCAATCTCCAGAACTCTGAGACCAGAAGAACTAGATGGTGCTCGGCTACCACTACCAACGACTCAGACTGGGATCACAAGAGAAGGTCCTAGATACAGTGGAATAAAAACGTGAAATAAAATAAAAAAGACCAGACTCACTGGTCTGATAGAGACTGGCGGAACCACTGGACTATGGCTGTTAGTCCCCCTTCAAGCCTGGAACTGAACCCACCCTGGGGACCAACTTTCAGCCAAACAACAGACAAGTCTATAAAGTGAACAACAAGGAGGTACCCTTTCCATAGAACAATCAACAAAAGGGCAGCATTTGCCTTACAACAAAGATCAGAAGGCAGGAAGGGGCAGGAAAGAAGGTTGGGTGGAAACGGGGAACCCAGGGTAGAAGTGGGAAGAGTGCTGTTACAGTGACGGAACCAAACAAAATCTGTATGATGTGTTGAGTGGAAAACTGATGTGCTCCATAAACCTGCACTCAAAGAAGTTTTTTTAAAAAGTTAGCTAGCTTTTAGCCCTGGCTCTCCCTGATTAACTTCATAGGCTTTGGGCCGCACTGCACTGATAGTTATTTTTTAAATTTGTAATTAACTTTTCACTGTGATTTGGGTGAAAGTGTACAGAGCAAATTCGTTTTTCAACAGTTCATAGACATTTTGTTTCACGACACTGACTACAATCCCTCTAATGTAACAGCTCTCTTCCCACTTCTCCCTGTGTTACCTCCTCCCTGTGTCCTTCCTGTGCCTTCCTGCCCTCTGAGCTCCCTTCCCCCTGCGCCCATGCTGCTCTTCTGATCTCCCATCTGGCTGACTGTTCTAAGGAGTGCATCTATCTGATATAACTGACCGATTCATAGGCCTATCAATTGTGTGGCTGGAGCCATGGGAGTGAGTTCGATTCCAGGCCTGAGTTCAATTCCAGTGACTATGGGCCCTAGCCTCAGGGGTTTCACCAGTCTCCATCGTATCTTATAGTAGCCTGGTCTTTTTTGTGCTTTTGAGTTGTTTTCCCTATTTTCTCCCACTCTACTCAGGATCTCTAATTTTGATCGCTGAGTGGATGGCAGTAGGACAGTGAGTTTTTAAGTCTACAGATAACTTTAATCTCTCAGCAGGGATAATACGTATAAAGGTTTATAATAAAATATGAAAAACGCCCCCCCCCCCAAAAAAGGAGCCAGAAACCTTGCCCTCAACTCTGACAGACATCTGACACAGATGGTATTTCTACTCCTCCAGTGAGCACTGATCAGTGGACACACTGTCAATCACCTGATTCCCTCCTGCCGTGAGCTCTTCTGCCCCCCAGGAAGCCACAGCTGCCTTCTGACAATGAGCCCCACCAACAGCCTCCAACAGATCCTACTCTAGCCCTAGCCCATGGTACCGGCAGTAAGATGCACTCCCTGACTGTCAGTCGTCACGACCCAGCAGCTGCCCTTCTCCACCGTCACCACCAGGGCTGAGCCTCTGCTTCCCCAGCCAGAAAGGGAAGTCATGTCGACCACACATGAAAACAAGCAGCAGCACTTTCTAAACCATGAATGCGCTACCCACAAGCCAGACACTACTGGCAATCCAGGTTCAGCTCTGAGGGGCTCAGAGGGTCTTTTGAATTTTATGCAAGAATCCACTCCCAGGTAGTGAACAGTTGGACTTGTGGGCTTGGGACCAAGGTTGCAGGGGACATCAAGCTCAACTGACGTAACGTACTACGCAAAAACATTGTTCCACATCCTACTTCAGCAAGTAGCGACCAGGATCTTAAAAGCTTGTAAGCATCCATCTACATGCAACAAAGGGTCTCTCCTCATCCAGAGCAAAGAATAATGAAGAAAACCAAAGAGGCATGGAAACAATTGGTCCAAGGGACTGGAAAACCATGCAATCCTCAGTCTATATGACCATGAGACCAGAAGAACTAGATGGTGCTCAGCTACCACTGTCAACCATTCGGAGGGGGATCTAAGTAGGAGACCCTGGATAGAGTGGAGAACAATGTGGAACAAAACTCAGAATCTTTTAAAAAAAAAGGACCAGGTTTGCTGGTCTGATAGAGCCCGGTGGAACCCCTGAGACTATGGCCCCTAGTCCCAGTTGCCCTTCTGAAATTGAACCCATTCTTGTGGCATCCAGCCAAACAATAGACAGGCATATGAGCTGAACATTTACATTAGGTAGATACACTCTACCTTTTGTTCTGTTGTACATAAGGTTGCTGTGAGTCAGAGATGACTCAACAGCACATAACAACAACAAGATACACTCCTTGGAGAGATCAATCATGGGAGAATAGAAGGACTATGTATGCACAGGGAGACAGCTTGGGGTGCAGGAGTGCCTGGGAGGGAAGGACACAGGGAAGAGATAACTATGGGGAGGAGGTGGGAAGAGAGCTGTTGCACTGTGGGAAATTGCAGTCAACGTCATGAGACAAAGTATATGTGAACTGCTGTACGGAAAATGAATTTGCTCTGTAAACTTTCACCCAAATCATAATTTAAAAGAAAAGTCCACTCCCAAACTTCTGGCCAGAGGAGGTGGTGGCCAGGGCGTTATAGGGACAAAAGCGACCTCCCAAAGGAGAAGCCAACCGGATCTTAACTTCCTCCCTGCAGTAGTGACAACCTGGCCAGGCCCTAGAGAACCACCAACCCTGCCCACACCTGCTTTAAAAACATTCACAGAATTCAGAAAACACAACTGTGTTCCCACGCAAGGACTGTCTCACATGCAGCAGTGCCAACCACCCACTCATCACACGGCATCTGAACCCACTTGATGCTTCAGCGGCGACTCTATCCTCCTGAATTCCGAAGGTTGGTTCTCTAGTTGATAGACAATCAGGCCTCTCTCCGCCGTCGCCACCACAGCCATAGGATAGATCTGGGGGGAGCAGAGGCATGCTTACCAAGGAGAAGGTGCTTTCCTCACACCTAAGCACTGGATTTTCTATAACCATAAAAACAAGTCTGATTTTTAAGTTTCATAATCCAGTGATAAGTCTTATGAAAACGTAGAGAAATCTTAAAGTAAAGCTTTCATACAGTTTCAGAAGACCTGTTCCTAAGAAGTAACTATAAAAGTACTATAAACACTTGGAACATAAACGCCTTCAAATGATGACCATTGAACATTCTGGTACATTACATTTCACCCCCAGCCGTTTTTTCCAAGCATCACATGTGTGCATGTGTTTCTATATAAATGCATTTAGCATTTGCTAAAAACATTACTACTTTTCAAGAATACTAATCGTGGCCACCTAACAGGCCACCCTGTGAATGCACCACAAGGTTCACTTCATTGTGTCCGTCTGGTAGGCCAGTTAGGTTTTACTATTTTATATAAAACAAAAATCATTAGCACCTGTAATTACATCATCACGATAAATTCCTACCAATAGTGACAGGGCAGCTGGTAGACAACTTTAAGGCTAAACAGGGGAGGAAGTTCTTCAGTCTCCACCCCATTCAGAGTCACTTCCCAGAGACCTAGCACCACACTGCAGTTACAGCCGCTTTCCCACTGCCACACCAAAGGCATTTTGATGTTTCCATAATGATGTGCACCACAAACCCATGTATCTCTCAATTAATTTCTAAGGTAACACCCTATGGAAAAAGGCCATGCTAATGATGGCCTGGGGCCATCTGCACGTGTTCAATCAACAACTGTGCAGGAACTGGGCCCTGAGCATCGCTATTTCTAACCCTACCATTCGAGTCGGAGGAAGACTGGGCACGCCCTCCCACTGCAGACACCTTACGGCAGGAAACACTTACGTTGTCTTCCAAAGGAAACAAATATTAGTTAATACTGAGTGAAGGAAACTGCTTACCACATCAGCACAGTAACACCTCTCAGGGAGCTGCAAGACCATCATAGGATTTGATGATCGTGTATCCCAAAACTAAAACCAAAATGGAATCAGTAAGTCACCGCTGAGAACAAGTCCGACAAGTGTAAGAACGCATGTCAACCTCCATGGGGCCACATGATCCCTCCAGGGTGTACTATACCTTTAATGTCTTATCCCAGCTCCCAGTCATCACGCAGCTGTAGTTTGGTGCTTTGATCCAGTGTATGGTTTTAACAGGAGCATCATGCTTTCAACAAGACAAAAACAACACAGATCAGGGCAAATATAACAACACGCCCAACCACTTTAGTTCTCGACATTCAGAGAAAGGACTCATGTAGATACTGAGGTCACACCAAACCACAAAGTACATTTCAACCTTCCTCACAATCAAAAGGTATTCTCTGGCATAAGAGCAATTATCTGCTGTGGTAGTTAAGTTTGTGTGTCAACTTGGCTGGGCCTGGCTGAGTGGCTGGACAGCTGGATGTAGTATTCCCCATGATGAGACTGGTCATCAACTCCACGGTAGAATCTACTGGGAGCAGCTGAGTAGCTGCCTTCGGGGATATGGTCTGCTTCCCATATATAAAAAATAAGGTTTCTCTAGGGAAGGGTCTCTAGCTTATGGCACACTTGAACCCCATGTAGCCATGTCGTTGTTCAGCAGCCTGCCATGCTCTGCCAACCTTGGGACTTTCAACGGACTTGAATCAATGGCCTGCTGTGTGGTTTGGTAACATTGGAACTGTGCCATTTTATTTGTTGACCTTGGGCTGGTTAGCCTCAGCAGCCAGCAGCTGCCTGAGTGAAGAGATGCCTCTAGCTTCAGTGGGCTGGGAGCAGGAGGAGAACTGAAGACCAAGGATGAGGGGCTTTCACCCAGCCCCTAGGGCCTGGCACTTTGAACTTGGACTTAAAGCCTCCAAACTGTAAGATCTGCCTTCCACATTAACCAACTTTAACCTGATTTTGAAGGTAATTAACTAACTAGAGTCAAAGCAAGCCCCTTCCTAGGGAGAGAATGCCACCACAGCCTTGTTACTACGGGACATTAACGAGAGCCTGGGAGAAGTTTCTAACACACATACGCATCTCACAGAATGTTGTGTCATTCTGAAAAGGCTTCCTGGATTCCTCAGGCCAGGCCAGACTCCCAGGATCTAACCTCTTACTTGTTTCTATTTGTCATCCCCAGCAGGCAATAAAAGCCCTAAGAAGCATGTAAGCTTCCCTCTTACTCTGCCATATCCTGAGCCCCCAATGACAGCACCAGCACAGAGCAGGCACTCAAGAAGTGCTTATCACACAAAGGAGTGACTCATGCATTTGGTAAGAGGCCAGCTACACACAGGTGCTGGAACGCCAAACATGTATGACGAGGACCACTTGCACTATCTGTCTGTTACAGATTTTAACATCACCAACTTCTAATGCTGCCTTCCTCAAGAGAATCCTATTACACACACACACACACAAGGAAGCCCCATGATGGAGCAATCTGTGAAATACTTATCAGAATGAGAACAATTACAGAACTGACACTATCCTCACATGAACAAGGAATCTGATCTTTGAAACAGAGCACTATTGTAATTATAATCAGAGGCACTAGCCCTGCCCAGCATCTCTGCAGGGCATGGCTCCCTTACCTGTGCAATCTGTATCGCCTGGTTACTGTTGAGGTCCCACATTTTGGCAGTTTTATCACATGACGCTGTAAATACTTTGCTCCCATCCTAAAATGAAATGGAGGAGAAAATTAGACATTCTAAGACAAATAAAATCTCTATACATACATTTAAATAACAGGTTGAACATCACTGAGAAAGGTTTTCTTGTTCGGCAATTTAACATTTTCCAATTATTTGGGGGCCAACATATTACAAAGGAGCTCTGGTGGTACAGTAGTTAAAGCACTAGGCTGCAAACCAAAAGGTCAGTGGTTTGAACCCATCAGCCACTCCATGGGAGAAAGATGAGGCAGTCTGCTTCCATAAAGACTGATGGCCTTGGAAACTCTGTAGGGTAGCTCTACTCTGTCCTATAGGGTCACTATGAGTCAGAACCAACTCAATGGCAGTGGACTTGATGTATTACAAACGTCAGTGTCAGATACAAAACACATTTTCAATCATCAGTTACGTATCAGAGAGATAATATGTGAACAAGATCAAAAACTCAAGTGGCACGTAGAGTTACACAGTGAGAAATAGCCTCCCTCCCACCCCTGACCCTGCAGCTTCCCTGAGGCACCATGGCCCCTGAGTACTTCCAGAAATCATCTGTGTGTGTCATCTATCTATGCATGTCACCTGGGGCCACTTTTTAAAATTTTTCATGTTTTGGTAAAACCTTTGGAAGAGCTGCCAAGAACAATACAATAAACACCCATAAACCCAGCCCTGACTATAAATACTTGGCTACATGAGTTTTCTTGCTCTTTCTCCTCTCTACATACACACACACAATCATTACTTTTGTTCATGTGCACATTTAATAGCATTCCAAAATGCACGTAATTTAACTACACTGCTTTATAAAAATCATTAGTCCTATCTAGAATATAGGAGCTCTGGTAGCATAGGGCCTAAGGTACTTAACTGCTAACCAGAAGGCTGGCGGTTCAAATCCACCAGCCACTCCTTGGAAGGAAGACGGGGCAATCTACTTCCATAGGGATACTGCCTCGGAAACCCAAGGAGGGGTCGCTATGAGTCGAGTCCGACTCGACGGCACATAACAACAACATCATCTAGAATACAGAATAGTTTTAAAAATTAGCACACCATATGATCATTTTTTTAAATGTTTGTATCTAGGACTCAAAAGTAAACCCATCAAATATGAGGTAGCACAGTTAATTTTAAAAAAAGTACTGAACTGAAAGTTTAGACCAGGGGTCATCTAACATTTTCTTAAAACAACAGTATGTATTTTTGGCTTCTGTGGGTCAAAAGGTCTCTGTTGCACAAAGACTCAACTCTATCACTGTAGTTTGAAAGCAGCCATATACATTAAAAGATGAATGTATCTGTGTTCCAATAAAACTTTATTTACAAAAATAAGCAATAGGTCAAATGGACTGAAGAACCACAGTTTGCCAACCCCTGGCCTAGACTATTTCATTTCTGGTTCCATAGCTCAAAGATTTACCACCACCACTCTCTAGCCAAGAATTTCTTCCTATCTGAAGTCACCAGTTTTCCATCTGAAAGAGATAAACTTGCTCCCCATTCTATTGAAGAAGTTATGAGCATAACTCTATAACTTGGAAACACAGAAAGTAAAGACACTAATGTACAGAAGTGCCACTTTGAGGCGGAGGGGACCAATGGTCCAGCCCTCAAATTGCCAACCTTGCCACTCACCCTTTGTGTCTCTAGGTGTGTAACCATCACCAAAGAGTAACAGCTGGCCAGACCTTCATGGACATGTACAAAGAGAGGACAACCTGCCAAAAGGCCTGGAGAGAGTAATAATGCTCACATATGCTCCCTACCCAGCAGTGCTAAGTTCTACCTGCCATGGCCACACAGGTGAGCCATGTCCTTGATCAGGTTTGCCTGTTATGCCTCAAAGGTAACCTTGGCACTTCCGTGCCTGTGCCACTACCTAAGTGGTTTCCTGTCCTGCAATGCCCTTCCCACCTCTCCGAGGTCTCTCATCCTCTGCCCATGAAGCTCTATGGCAAAGGCTGCTTGGGCTCTGGAGTCACACCAGCCTCAGTGCTCATCTGCTGCTGTGCTCCCTTAGAAAAACAACTTCTCATCATCTGAAACGTCTGTTTGTTTCTGCATTTGTCCATCCCTCCGTAACAGACCCTACACTACGTGAACACAAGGTCTGCCTGCTTGAGCTCTACTAGATCCTGTCTTCAGCACACAATCAATACCTGGCTATTATCTGTTGATCATTTTATAAATGAGGAAACAGACTCGGGGAGATTAAGTAAGCTGGCAAAGTTAAAAAGCTGAACATGACAGAACTGAAATCTGAAGCCAGAATCTGAAGCCAGATGTGGACTGATGAGAGAACGCTCAAAAGGCTGCAGGTACAGGTACACAGCTCTCTTTAAATTGGGCTCATCTGTCTCAAGGCTGAACAAACTAAACACATTTGTTTACACTGCTGATGTTTGGGATTTGGGGAGAAAAAAAGAATTTTTAAAAACCACAACATTTAATAATAGAAATGGGTCCATTTTCTTCTAGGATTGATTTTCTGGGAGAGTGCATTTCTAATTTCAAACAACCTAAGGTCATGGCATATTCAGAGGTAAGAGAAGCTTCATGAAACCATCTGTCCTCTTGCACAAAATAACATGTCAATAAAATATTGCAATGTTATGCCAGAAAAGCGCCTAGTGCTACGTGCATTCAGAGAAGAACTAATTCAAGCAACTGTCACTGAGTATACTCCGAACACGGAGGCTGCTGCTGCTGGTTGACACTGAGCCAACCCCAACTCACAGCAGCCCCACGTGTCAGAGCAGAGCTGCTCCACAGGGTTGTCAAGGCTGTGACATTTCAGAAGACATGAACAAATTACAACTCTCAAATACGCATAAACGAAAACCAAATCCATTGATGTCAAGTCAATTCTGATTCAGAAAACTTATAGGGTTTCCAAGGCTGCAACCTGTACGGAAGCAGATTGCCCCATCTTTCTCCCACAGAGCAGCAACTGGTGGGTTAAAACCACGAATATTTCAGTTAGCTGCAGAGCAGTTAACCACTGCGCAACCAGGGCTCCTTACAATCTATATACATACGTGCTGTTTGTGTTTCAGGTTGTTAAACATTTTGAATTACACTGTGCTTTAAATAGAAGAAAAGGTTAAAAGTTGATGAAACGTACATCACTCCAGCAGACATCAAGCACGGGCCCGGTGTGCATCTGCTGGGCTTTTGGAATAGTCTGCCCACTGTCTTGAACTTCCCAACAGCGAACCTATAGAAACAAGGCAAACTGGTGTAAGCAAACAATTCATAATAAATTATATCACCTGAACACCTACTAACTACTAGTGGGGTACAATTTAAATGTACATGGACTTCTCACATCAATCCAATTATCTAACTTTAAGAACAAAGTAACTGAGAAGTATTTTTTATTCCTAAGCCGCTAAAAAATACAACGTCCACTGCTTATACCAAAGACAGCAGATAACGTTCTTGTCACATCTATGAAATGAGACAGACTGTCACCCATTACCATTCAAACTCAAGACCAAAGAAGAAACTTACCCTTCTTCATTGAATACTGTGTTCTGAATTTTTGTATCATATTTTTTCCTGATTGTAAGAGTAATGAATCTTACTCACGAGATTTTGTAATTATGACAAGAGCATAAAAATCACCCTTAATCCCACATTCACTATCAACAGTCCCGGGTACTGTTAATCTGGTTTCCAGGTATCTGTATTTTCTTCAAAAAAACTCGTTGATGCGGCAGCTCCAGTTTCACAGCTGCAACTTTTCTCACTTCTGCCACTAGCTTACTCAGCATTAAGCACTCTTCTAACATGGTTGTCCTTAACCATTTTTGGGCAGTCAATCAATAGAAATCTTCTCTAGAAACTACATGTGGAAAGCAAACCTGCTCAACTGTGGCTACCCTCCTCCCTCAACCATTCTCTGCCCCAGCCCTCTGCTCCCTCACAAATCGCAGGCCATAATTTGAAAATCCTCCCTGAAAACTCCTAAAGTGGAACTCTACCATATAGACATGCTGCAAATTATCATTACCACTGCATACTACAATTTTTTCCAAATTTCCAGTAGGGCTAGGTCTAGCACACTTTTAAGGCAGTAATAGCATCTTATAAGGGGCAGGGGTGGGGCGTGGCTAGGAGCGCGGATCCTTGGAGAGACTACAAGGAGTGCTAGTGGCCAGTTAGAGTCCCCTGGAACCAATCAACCTCTCTAGTAATCAGATACTTGCACATTTAAATTTAAATACTTGCAAGTATCTGATTACTAGAGAGGTTGATTGGTTCCAGGGGACTCTAACTGGCCACTAGCACTCCTTGTCTGCAGTACCTCTTCATATTCTTTTTTATTAGACTTTATCTTTTTGGACACAGTGGTTAGAACGTTCATGCAGGATTTGTGGTATATCTAGAGTTGAAGACAGCCTAACATGCCCAAAGAACATTTTCAGGATGCCAAGAAGGGAAATCTGTTCATTTACACCCTCAGGAGGAATATTCACCTCAGTGAACTGCATGTGATGGGGGAATATACTTAAAGATACTGAAGTCGGGATTTTTGAGCAATGCACATGATTATGCTTTCCTAACAAAAATCCAAGCATGTTCTCACAGGGCATGGTGGTGGCTTCCATTCAAAAGGGTTTGCACCTCTGAGCTGATTTAAGAAGGACACAAAAAATGGAACCCACTAAAAATAGCTAAGCTTGTCCATTAGAGAGGGATTATGTTCACATGCATGTAAGGAGCACTTACATCATTAGCCCACGATCCTGCAATAAGAAAGTTCCCCAGCAGGGTTGGTGGGCTAAAAGACAGACAGCCAATGCTGTCATCAGGAGAAGATGTTACTTCAATATCCTGGGGTGGGGAGAAAAGCCAACGTTAAAACATAAGCATCTTTAAAATTCAATTCAAAATTGCTCTTTCCCACTAAACACTACACAGGAGTCCCAGTGGTGCAGTAGTTAAAGTATCAAGCTATTAAATTAAAGGTCAGAGGTTTGAACCCACCAGCCATTCCAAGGGAGGAAGATGTGGCAGTCTGCTTCTGTAAAGATCACAGCCTCGGAAACCCTATGGGGCAGTTCTACTCTGTCCTGTAAGTCGCTATGAGTCAGAATTGACTCGATGGCAGTGGGTTTGTTTTTTTAAACACCAGACAGAGGACTCTCTTTGTGCTTCAGAACTAATGGAATTAGCCTTTCATTATTCAAGAGGAGACACAAGCCAATCAAAGAACTAGCACTGCCAAGACTAAAAGCAGCACTCTAGACAAAATGCCCACAGACCCACTTCTCAAACGTCCCACCAGCCCTCTTTTGCTCCAAAGTGCCTGACTACATTAATCACCTGGGCCCCTCCCACAGAAATTCCAATCTGATGGCTATGGTCTACACCCCAGGATCTACAATTCTGACAAGCAGCCTGGGTGATTCCAGCAATTGGGCAAGCTGGGGGTCCTGGGGACACACAGTTTCTGTGCTCTGTTGTTTGAGAATGAGGGGCTAGACAAAGGGAGCCCCAGAGGAGGCTCCCGAGGCATCTCAGCTTCTGCCACTGTCACTGATGTGGGCAACCCTTGCTGCATTCTTCCCACAAAGCCCTGTGTACCTTCATAGGATTGTGGTTATCTGTGGTTGTGCTGCCGAACATGCTGGTCCCGCCCGTTCCAAAACCCGAGGTTGTTCCAAACAGACTCATTTTGGCCCTAAAAAATCATAGGGGATATTAAGAGCAGGTTCTTTAAGTCATAAATATCACCAAAAGGCAGAATAAACACAAGTCACAAAAGAGAAATAAAGACTCTATGTGGCCTGATGCCAGGTATCTCTTTAGACATGATCTAAGTATCTACATGACAAGCAGAGTATTTTTAAATAAACATCTTATTTTAGAATAGTTTTAGATTTACAGAAGAACTAAAGATACGGTAGAGTTCCCATGTACCCCACACTCAATTTCCCCTATTATGAACACTGTACATTCATATGGTACATTTGTCATAATCAACGAATCAATATTGATTCATTATAGCAGAGTATTTTTTAGGTACTAGCCTATTCAAAGAATCTGTGAAGTCTCTAAACAGTGATAGGAACTGAGTTGCACACCATGACCACAGCAGTGAAACAGGCAGAAGGTCCCCATGCAGAGGTCTGCACTCAGTGAGAGTTCATCTTCTTCTTACAATATCCCCGCACGAACACACTTAGAAAAACAACTAGTCTTAGCAGTGTTTTTGCCATTTCTTCATGAGAGGAGTTCAGAGGACAGGTACACCATGCTTTACTGCACTTCACAGAATACCATGTTTTTTACCAATTGAAGGTTTGTGGCAACTCTATGTCAAGCAAGTCTATCAGTGCCATTTTTCCAACAGCATGTGTTCACTTCGTATATGCATCATGTTTGGTAATTCTCAAATATTTCAGACTTTTGCACACTCAACAGACCACAGTATAGCATAAACATAACTTTTATATGCACTGAGGAACTAAAAAAGTCGCATGACTTGCTGTACTGTGATATTTGCTTTGTTGCTGCAGCCTGGAACTGAACCTGCAATATCTGCAAGGTGTGCCTGTGACCCACTTTGTTCCACTTGGCACCAAAAGGCCTGGCACAGCGTGCTTCTGGACATTTCTCTAACAAGACTTCCCTCTGACTCCATGTTTTCTCTGGAGTGCCACCATCTAGCAGGCCCAGCAGAATCTGAACCCTGCCTCTGCTACTCACTAGCACTGGGACCACAACCTCAATGGGCCTTAATTTCGTGCTCTGTAAACACAGAAAATAAACCTTCTCCAGGGTTGCTCTGAAGAGCAAATGAGACTGCTTATATAGAAAGCACACAGTACCTGGTGCATACTGGGTGAATAAACAATGTTCCCTTCTTTTTTCCTTCCATGGAGAAAGTCTACACGTTATAATTCCCCAACCACTTGCATACATCAAGGCCATGTTTCCAATTCCATTATGGGTTAGCACACTCTTACACCCTGAAGTTTATTGTGTCAGTCACCTCCCCAAAGGAGTCCAGCAACTCAGTGAGACACTGGTTAACAAGGGTGGCATCTCTACACACTCAGGACAGCACAGAATGGACAGGCGGCAAAGAATTTTGGGAAGGCACTTGCGTTTGCCTAGAGCTTCATGAAAAATAAGCAAGTGTAGACAGTGTAGAACGAAGGAAGATCACACACAGTGACTGAAGCACAAGATCTCCATAAATGCCAGGTCCATCCCGCTCCCCAAGTTAGGAGAGAAGACATCTGCCATTAGGAATGAGGGAAAAAGCCTGGGGCTTGAGGCAAGAGTACTGGAGTATGAACTCAGCCAGTAGGGAACATGTTACACTGGTCCCTGCGAACCAGCAGGCGCCCCACATCTCCAGCTGACCTCCCACTGCCCCCTCGTGCTGCACTCCAGCCCCGCTGGCTTCTACTCGGTCCACGAACACAGCCTTTCTCCTCGCCGCTCCTCCAGCCCCAGGTGATGCCTCCGCTCACCAGCCGCCTCCACTCCAACCTTCAGGTCCCAGTTTAAGAGCTGCCTCCTGGGAACTTGCTGGGGCGACGGAAGTGTTCTAAGACTGCACTGTGGGGAGGATTACACGACGGCACACAATTTCCTGGGCTCACGCAAACGTCAACCAGGGAATCTGACGGCATGTCAATGAATCAATAAGCTCTTAAACATATTATTATTTTTTCTTTAAGGCACCTCCTCCGAGGCTTCCCTGCCTCCTACCTACCCCCTCCAAGCCCTCCTCCGTTGGCTTCACAGCCCTTGACGCCACCTGGAATTTCCTGACTGGTTTCCAATCAACCTCTTCCCCAGGAGACCGTCAGCTCCAAGAGGGCGGGCGGAACTCCGTCAGGATTCTTCCCGCCTGTTCACCTGGCACCTCAACACACCGCCCGGCCCGTGGCGGCTAGTATTTAACAAATACTTGTCCAAAGGACACGCCGAGGAACTTCTCTGGACAAGACACAAAAAACATACTTTCAGACAGTGGTCGGTGACACCAAAGGACCTAAGCCGAATAACACGGGAGACTAAAGGAGGCCCTTCTCTAGAGGGACGGTCGGGGAAGGCTTCCCTCAGGTGAAACAGGTCTGGGGAGAAGCCAGACAAGCGACGGGGAAGGGCTTTCTAGGCAAAAACGACAGACCCTGCCATCAGCCCTGTGTGACACTACCCGGGGCCTCAGTTTCCTCAAAACATAAACGCGGGGTTAGACCCTAAGAGGCTCCCACATCCCTTCCAACGGCCGCTAATGAAGTTCGGTCAACAGTCCTATTAGTCTCTCAGCATCTTGTTACGACGCGCGCTCCGCAGGGGGCACCCGGCCTCCGCGGACGCCATGGTGGCGGGTAACCAGGGAGGCGGCACGGGGCCTACCTGAGAGTCGCACCGCGGCTGGAAGCCGACGGCTTGGGGCTGGAGGGACCGAGGAGCTTGCGAGCCCGCCCTGAAGCGGGAACGAGGCCGAGCTGCCGGGAGCACCAGTCCCAAGAGCCTCGGGTCTCCTCACGCTCGCGATGGAAACCGGTCCGATTACCGCGAGGGCACCACGCATGCGCCCCTGAGCCACTTCCTGTGTCGCCCGGAAGACAGGAGAGAAAAAGACTCCTCCTTCCGCGAGGCGACTCCACATGCGTACAAGCGCTGTTGAAGCCAAGAGGAAGTCGTAGTATCTGCGGTTTCTGGATTGGCCGAAATTTGGGGAACCAGGCTGCTAGGTGCCAAGCATCCGTTTTCATAAATCCGTGGCACGGGGTGAATGAGGATGTGAATTAACATTTCCCATGTGCATTAACCATCGTCTTAAAGCCTAACAAGATTCTGATTGCCGTCTATTTAAGCCCTAGTACATTTGGCGCTGAGAAAAGCTGATTTAACCCTGCCTAGCACTGCCTCGGAAACCCAAGGAGGGGTCGCTATGAGTCAGGGCTGACTCGACGGCACATAACAACAACAACAACAGCAGTTCTGGAGGAGCTCATAGTGCCTAATGCATTTGACTGCTAACCAGAAAGCTGGCGGTTCAAACCCACCAGCCACTCCTCAGAAGGAAGATGGGGCAATCTACTTCCGTAGTGATACCCCTCGGAAACCCAAAGAGGGGTTGCTATGAGTCGGGTCCTACTCGATGACACATAACAACAACAACAGAGTTCTGGTGGCGTAGTGGGCAAGGCATTTGGCTACTTAACCATGAAGGTCCGTGGTTCAAATCCACCAGCCACTCCAATAAAGAAATCTACTTTCATAAAGATTTACAGCCTTGGAAACCCAATGTGGGTGGCTATAAGTTGGAATTGACTCAATGGCAGTGGGCTTGCTTTTTTTGTTTTTGGAGGGTGGTAAATAGGCTAACCTGGATCCCTGCGCTGACTCCTGGTTGTTGACTGAGTATCCTGAGCCGACCAGACCTCTCTGGACCTCAGTTTCAGGCTCTAAAATGGGCACAGCCATGCCTACCTTCCCCGCTTTTTTTAGTTAGGTTCAAATGAAATCCACGGATGAGGTTTGCTGAGTGTAAGGTTCCAAAGGCTGTTCAGGAGCTGTTACCACTCTCCAGTCCCCGGGTGGTGCAAAAGATTATGTGCTCCACTACCAGCCAAAAGATCGCCAGTTCAAATCTACCCAGAGGCACCTCAGGAAAAAGACTTGCCAATCTGCTTCCTAAAGTTAGTCACAGCCAAAAAACCCTATGGAGCACAGTTCTAATCTGACACACATGGGTTGTCCTGCGTCAGAACGGACTCCTTGGCAACTGGGAAAAAATGATTACTCTCACACAGCCCTGTGGTGCTCTTCATCTGGCTACTTTCTTCCTGAGGAGTGGCTGAAGAAGAGCAAGAGGAAGAAGGCTCTCTTGGGCTTGTACTACATACGCTGGATCCGTTCACTACTCTGTCTGTGAACCAAGAGCCTTGGCATCAGCTAGGAGTGTTAGGATCAGTGGGATCTTGTAAAATGTGAGTCGCTAGGTCTGGGGCTTCTAACAACCCACATGTCTAGCAAGCACAGGGCTGAGGTTGCTGGGCCGCACTCCACAGCTGGATGCCAAGGATCTAGGCAGCGGTTTACAACCAAACTGTGCCTGGGCTGCACTCTGAGATCCGGGTCCAGTTGATTCGCGGTAGAACTCAGGGACTTCGTCTTTTGAAAAATCTCCTTGAGTGATTCTAAGGTACAGCTAAGGTTGAGAATATCAGTTCTAGGTACTGATAGTAATAGTAGCCTTCCTGAGAACTTAGCACTAGGCGCTTTAGCTGCTCTGTCTCCTGTCCTTACCTTCAGAGCCCTAATAATCTCCATTTGATAGACAAGGACACTGAGGCTGAGAGAGGTCATGTGCCTGCCCAGAGATCCCACAGTCCTGAAGCAGAGGGGCCAGTGATACCTGCCTCGTGGCTAATCCCTGCATCGCAAAACCTTAGCAACACCTGTGCCAACCACACCCTCCTCAGTGACACGTTTCCTTATTCTTTCCCTGTTGACTCATCTCATCTCGTTTCTCCTTTAAACTCTCAAAACCCTCACAGAGCTCTCTCGGGGCTTCTCATGTTTTGCCTCATAGAACAGATT